ATAGTTCTAGAAGGCACCCCGTCTTCAATCACATTCACAACATGTAACTCAGATGTTTTTATTTAGATTTATAAATGCTACCTACATATTAAAAAGAAAAGGAATACCCAACTTAAAAAGAGGCTGTTTTTATAAAATGTCTTTTGGACATCTGGTTTGGAGCTCAGTGCACAATAAGTACATAAGTTGGCAGTACACATCATGTGATAAACTTTGATTCAAAGCTAGCTTAGGAAAGCCTATCTAGGCTTATACTAGAAGCTTATTGTAGTATTAAACTACACAGGAAAATGATTTGACTTGAAATTGTATTTTTATCTTTCTTGTGCTATTGTTAGATAGAAAGCAAATTCCCAGAAGGATGAAGAAATAGAGCTTTTCTAAAGACAGTATAGAGCTATGGCAATGGGTGGATTCTTCATTGTGTTTTAATTTCGCTTCAGAACCTATAACTCCTCAGATATAAGGGTAATACTTCTTTTAAACTTTTCAACCTTGATTAACATCATAATTTGACTCACAGCTGTAATGGGGGAAGGACTGAGGGGTGGGAAGAGAGGAAGGAATTTTCAAGTAATGACTGGACAAAAAGCAAGGGGGCCGGGAGTGCTGCAGAAGGGCTTGTATGTGGGAAGAAGTGTGGATGCCTGAGCAAAAATTGATCAAGTTATTAGCTGAGTTATTAAAAAAGGAAAGGGTGAGGGGAGCACAACATTAGCTTTTCCCTACTGCTTTGCCCTCAGAAGGGTAATGACAGAAGAAAGACTGTTCTGGATAATTCCTGGGCCAGTTATTAAGGGCACTTTGGAAAGGGAAATATTTACTGGCCTCTTACAAACATTTATAGTTTCTGAGTGTATCTTTCAAAACATTTAATATGTATGAAGAATGAAGTATTGCTCCCTGATGTCATCAAGTACTTGGAATAAGGTACAATGACTGTCAGCATGATAACACATTTCAAACATGGCTTCAGAGAGAGAATGCTGTCTGCTGTGGTCGTATAAGTTCAAAAAAGAGGCTGGAGGAAATCCACACTTGCTTTAGAGTGGTTGGTAATTGTATGGGGAAGAATGTGCGGAGCTCTTGTTTAAAAACAAAAAAACAAGCATGCTGACTTTGGATGATTTTTTAGTGGGCATATAGGCTGTGCCGTGGGGGGGAGGTTTTGTACATTCAGCAGTGACTTGGTGTTTATATATGGAGTAATGACTTCAGAGGGTATTTTTTTAATTATTATTTTTATTTTAACACTTATTTGTACGTATTTGTGGGGTACAGTGTTGGAAAGTACGTTTTAGATGTTGGTAACAACCTGTGTTAAAATGTGCAGCGATTGGTTGCTTGCAATCATGCATTGGGACCACGTGAAAAATGGAAACTCTGTGATGTTCTTGGGATGGGACCTCATCTCATTTGGTAAAGGCTTCCAAAAGGGTTACAGATAAAAAGCAGGACTGGTGGTGACCCTCAGTGGCAAGATGAAGCTGAAGAGGAAGCCGAGCAAAAGCAGAGACAAGACTGAGAATAGGAACGACATTTGTGAATAAGAATTTTTTTTGGTTATGTAACATAACATTTGGTGTTTCATATAACGGTAAATTGTAATGCCGAGCAAAAGCAGAGACAAGACTGAGAATAGGAACGACATTTGTGAATAAGAATTTTTTTGGGTTATGTAACATAACATTTGGTGTTTCATATAACGGTAAATTGTAATTTTTCATTACCTTTGTATACATATTTAAACTATATTTGCTAAACTTAATGGGTTATAAGAATCACCTGGGACCCTTGTCAAAAATTCTCAAATCTTCCAGAATCTGTTTCCAGGCCTAGGAAACTATATTTCTAACAAGTGCTCCAGATGATTTATATTCTTAGCCGAATTTGGGAAACATTGACTTATGCCAATTCAGTAAGCCTTTGACAGACTCATAACTTTAGGGTTAATAGCTGGCCTGTCCCGTGAAAGATACTGGGTACCGTGATGTAGAAGCAAAGGCACACTCAACACTAAGCAGTGTGTGTGGCCCTGAGTGGCAGGGTGGCTTTCTGTCTTTCCCTCCTTTCGCCCTACCTCTTTTCTATTTCTCCTGCCCCACTTGGCTCTAGTTTTTCTTCCTCTTGTTCTCTCCATTACATCTCAGAAGATAGAGCCTTGAGTTTCTGGAGTTTTTATCCTAAAAACTGTAATTATAAAATGTAAAACTTAAAAAGGATGACCAGGCCTCTGGTCCCATCAGCACTGGAGGTTAGTTTTCTTCCCAAGTCCTTATCTGGTTAACTTCCGTGTGATCCAAGTGTGGCAACATCATCCTGTGTTTATAAATCTGGGCTTGATTTTTTGTGCCAGCTGTCAAACTGCATGATCCTCTCACCCCAGTAATTCTTTATCCTTAGTCATTGTGGAAGGTTGGTTGATTGGTTGGTTAGTTTTATGTTATTTTTTTTTTAATGAAACAGTTCTGAATAACTTCATTCTGCCATCTTGGCACAGTTACTACAAGGAAATCTAAAAGATTTTTAGTATGGAACTGAAGTTAAAACACAAAATAAAGGATCTTGATTTGTTTTCTATTTTATATCCCCATCTCCAAGGTGCTTTTCTAGATTGTAGGTTATCTATCCTATTAGGACATTTTTGGTACGATTGGTATGTGTACTTCTGTCTTCCTTCTAGGCATGTATATCCTCAAGGAGACTTTTCTCATCTAAGAAAATTTACTTGTGCCCTCAAGTACTGAAGCTCCTGCAGCTATCTTTGTGTAGTTCAAGTTGTGCATAGATTTTATCCAAAGACCAATCTAAAGGGAATCTTTTTTTTTCCCGGCAGCTGGCCAGTACAGGGATCTGAACCCTTGACCCTTGGTGTTATAACGCCACACTCTAACCATCTGAGCTAACTGGCCAGCCCTAAAGGGAAATATCTTAGAAGGAAGATTGAAGTAAGTCTGGTCACAGTTAAAAACGAAGACAAATCATACTGTCCTCCATCTCTCAGAGTTTATAATCTAGCTAGGCAAGACAGAAACACATGAAAATGAAAAGTAAAATAAGTATATCAGACAACTACCATACATTGTCAGAGCACAGGAATGGTACAAACAGTAAAACTTAAATTCCTAGTAAAGAGAGAGTTGATAATGTCAACAAATACAATTACTTTTCTCTCTGATGGAGAAAAAAAAATGTCGGGCCATCTTTCTGGCATCTTCTGAGAAAGACATGTTGTGCATGTCTACTTTTTCTCATTTTCCCCTCAGCACATTCCATTCTCACCTCTGTGGTTCTCTTGCATACTGTCATGCTTAAATGTTGTTTCTCATGAGCATCTTTGGGTTTTCTTGAGGATATTTCTCAGAATCCTAAGTCACATAATCAGGACAGCATAGGAGAGACTGATATCAAATCAGAGCCAAACTCTCAGGGGACTTCTGCTTTCTAGTCAGTAGAAGATGGGAGGTTGTATTTGCTTAAGCTCTGGAAATCAGAGTAGTTTGTTTTCCCCTCCGTACCCCAGCATTGTCCTTCCAAGTCTCACCTTTCTAAGCCCCCTAATCTCCAGTGTTACCCCCTTCTCCCACTCTGCTTTAAGCAGACAATGAGGTGAAGAGATCGTCCAGATTTTACTCCAGGTGAAAGAATTTTGGCACATGGTACATGTACTGGCAAGATGAATTACATATCCTATCTTTAACCCTCTTACCCATGGAGAGACACAGGCTTACATAAATGTGCACTAAATAGTTCAAGCTTTGGTCATGCCCCTTTCCACCAGAACTTTCTTCTTGGCCCTATTCCTTAAGATTGGAGTTCTTCAGGGCCGGCCCGGTGGCGCACTGCTACAGTGCGCCACTTGGGAAGCGCGGCGGCGCTCCCGCCGAGGGTTCGGATCCCACATACAGACCGGCCACTCACTGGCTGAGCGAGGTGCGGGAGCAACACCGAGGGTTGCGATCCCGTAGCCGGTCCCGGTCCGGTACGGGCACGACACTGAGGGTTGCGATCCATTGCCGGTCACGAAAAAAGACAAAAGGGGGAAAAAAAAAAAAGATTGGAGTTCTTCATACTTCAAGGCTTGACCACCACTGTTAGACCATCATCTGCCCATTTGGATTTCTAGAGAAATAAGGGCCATTTCTCTTAAAGTTCCTCATTCTTTCTATCCTTCTGTCTCCTGCCCTCTATTTCACCATTCTGTTGAAACTGCTATTTCAGAAACTACCTTCCCAAACTATCAAGACTTTCCTGAACTCTGCCTGTGTACACACCATTTTATTCCTGCTTTGTCCTTCTACCTCTTTCTGTAAGGCCCACAGGGAAGTTGATCTTCTACTCCTTGAACTTGACCTGATCACAGGCTTCTGCTCTATCACCCATCCCTCTGGGAAGTAAAGTTCTAAAAATGGGCTTCCATGCCATTTTCCCCTTGGAAGTATCATTAATGAATTTACAGAGCACATTAGCATATTATCATTAATCATTATCTGTCTTACTCTATCACATTCAACAGATATAAGTATGCTCAGTTACATTTTAATCAGACTTCGACTGTCGTATTTGGGTATTGACCCTCAAGTCTAGCTTACTTTGGGGAAGTGTGCTGTAGTTATATGTCTATCTTTACCATTCAAGACTGGACTTAGATATAAACGTGCACTAAATAGCACATTTAATTTTTTAATGGATACTATTTTGCTAGACCATGCAAATGAGTCAGCCAAGTTGTTAGAAGGCCTTGCCAAATATCAGGTTTGAACTGTCTGTCTAGAACTATAGTGTCTGACCCTGAGAGATTGTGTTTTAGTTGTGAGTGATAGCACTGATGTGCTGCAGTAAATTACTTAGTCCTCTGCTACTTTTCACTAGTTCAGGATCTTCTGTGTTTTTGCCTGGTTAAAACTTGGTAATAATAAAATTTATAACAAAATACTGGCCCAGAAAGACATCTAACCAATGTTCATTTATTAAACCTGCTTTCCTTACTTTCATTTCAGATTTGTCCAATATGTGCAGCGTTACCTGGAGGCGATCCTAATCATGTCACAGATGACTTTGCAGCTCATCTTACACTTGAACACAGAGCCCCTAGAGATTTAATATCCTTTTAAGAGGCAACAAGGGAAAGAATCATTTTTAACATTTGTCATTTTGATTATTTTTGAGGATAATATCTCCAAAGAGAAAAACTAATCTCCAGATTATTGTTATTTCACCTTTTTTTAAAAGTGACTAAGTGTTGAGAATGCAGTTTCTTATTTCTCTTTTTATATAATATGACTGTTGTACAACCATGTTCATTAAGTGAAAGTTGACTTGCACATCATCTTTAGTTTGTTACAGTCAGATTTTTTAAAAAGCAATTTGACCAGATTATAAGTCTTCCAGTAGGGTGTTTTCATACAAAAGAGAAAAATGTTGATCCAGATTTAAATCTGATTAGTTAAATATAAAGTGGCTTTATTCGCTTCTCTCTGTTACTCTGCTGCCTTACCCCGTTGTGGGTGTGGGATGGTGGAGCAGGTGGCATCTTGGGGCTCCTTTCCCTTTTGCAGGTCATCTTTAATCTGATTAGTTAAATATAAAGTGGCTTTATTCGCTTCTCTCTGTTACTCTGCTGCCTTACACCGTTGTGGGTGTGGGATGGTGGAGCAGGTGGCATCTTGGGGCTCCTTTCCCTTTTGCAGGTCATCTTTTTCAGGGAGAGCCATTTCCTGCCCAGTCTGTGCATAGGATAGCATAAGGTCACGTCTGGCTCTAAATTCCTTTCCTTCTTTCATTTCTGCATCCCCTTCCCTATGTCTCAAAAGTTTCTGGCAATGTTCCCTGAGATTACTGACCTACCAGATCAATTAATTTTGTAGACTCAATGCTTCTGGTTTCAATTTATGAACTGTTTTTCTAAACCGATCACCTGTTAACTTAGGGTTCTGTTTTCATGGGAAGGTTTCAGTGTTCGTAGCAGCTTGAGGAAATTCAAGAGCTAACCAGAACTTTTCTGTATGTATGCCAAACTTTACTCTGATTGCTTTGATTGCCTTCTGGCAATCATAATCCAAACTTAGACCTGTTGAGGAAGAAACTAGTCGTTTTCTTATTCTGCAGCTCCTAACCCTTGCACACAGTTTCTAATTTTCTAATGGGAAATATGGCCCTTTAGATTTAAGGGAAGATAAGTGGCAGCTAATGGAAAGATAAAGAAATGGAACCAACCAAGACGTTAGAGTATCAGCCAACCTTTGCCAGTCTAGGGCTAGTATTTAATGAACAGAGGGATCCAGTCTTCCTCTCTCCCTATGTGCAGGGGGCTCTGAAAGCAACGTGAAGTCATGTTTCGGTTGTTTTTTTTTTAAGAGAATGAAAAAATCCAAACTGGCCAAGAATACTTAAGCCTTCTGAGTCACTGTGTATTTTGTGTGAAAGAATTCTTTGCAATACCCAGAAGCATTATGCTTGATCCACTCTTCATTCCATGTTCATGGAGAAACTAAGCAAATAACTTAAAACCAAGCTGACATCCTCAACTTTTTTAGCAAATTCAGGAGTCTCCAGTGATATCAGTATCCATCCAGTAGAATATCCCCCATCATCTACATCCATTTTCATGAGATTTTTATAAGTGTCTCTGGTTACCAATAACTATGGCAGTTATCCTGAAAACATACTAATTTTTCAGAATTTAAGTGTAGTAACTTTATGTAATAAAGTTTATATAGTAACTTTATTTGTTTGACATCAGGGAATGTCTTCTGTGTAAGCCTCTTAAACCCCAGAACTTTTTTTTCACTATTTTCATGGATTTCTTCCTAAAGTGTACCTCACACCCAGCTACTTTTTAAAAACAAAATATAACGATTGTAACATCACTTTCTCATCATAAATACCATGATGAAACAGTGTATGTTATGGTAGCACTTGAGGGCCTCATGAAACCACTCACTCTGTCCCTAAATGACACCAAAACCATCAGCTGAAAAACCCGGAAGCCAGCAGAAAAATCCGTCTGCATTTAGAAGTGTTTTGTTTGCAGCTTTGAAAGTCTCTTCTACGATATCTTGGTTCCCCCTATCCACACCATTTGCCTGTGTGAGAATATGTGCTATCTTCACAACACGAGGGTCATGGGTTCTGATCCCTGTACCAGCCAGCGCCAAAAAAAGAAATTTCCCAAATACTTTGCAAGCGTAAAATATTTTTAAAAGCCAATTAACATAAAGCAATTCATATTGTTCTGGCATTTCTCTAAGTACTTAGGGGCATAAGGGGCATAATAGCTTATATTGTATTTGTGGCCTCCACTGAAGTCCAAGAAAATCGTGAAAGATTTCAGAGTCAAAAGACCTCCAAAATTCTACAGTTCAACCTCCACAAGTACATAGATTAAAAAAAGCTAATTGACAAAACTAAAGAATTAGGCTCTTCTCATGGAAGAAAGTAAAATAGGAATTTTTCTGTCCTCACTTTGGTTTGAGAACTGTCTTGTTGTGGAACCTACTGAAAGGTACATGTTTTAATAGCTTGGGGAAATCTTACTAAAAAAATACTACCATTTTAACTTGTAGTCCATGGCCAAGTCACTGAGTCTAGTGCACAACAATCTTGGAATCTGGCAACAGAGCAAAAGGGTCAAAATCAAGTGTCAGAAATCACCGTAGCTAGAGAATCAGCAAGACACACCAAACAGGTGATAAGATGCCGGGAAGAATGTGCAGGTTTAAAGAAACAGTTCTGAAATGTGTCTACGTAATGGAATGTGTGTCTGGAAGCCCTGATGCGTGTTGTAAAATATCTGAAATGGTGATAAGTGTAAATCTGTGATAGAAAGGAGGAGCAGTTTTACTTATAAAATGTTCTTTAAAATGTAAGATACAGAGTATAAAATCTTATTCTAAATGTGCTTTGGACATTTAGATGTGTAAGAAACAAAAGCAAACCCAATAAACTGAGTTTTGGGGGTTTTAAAAAATATTTCTTCATCCAGAGGGAATATCTATCACCTGGTAGCAAGCTCTAGAAATTTAAGTAATTTGTGGGAGCAAAATTCAAAATTGAGACATTATCTTCATTACTTTATTTTTTTCTGTCAGTGAAAATTAGTTTGTTTTAGTGATGGACTATGTATTCCATAAAAGAGTAGTGTAAGAACTCCTGGTACAAAACAACAGTGAACAAGAAAACAGAAACTTAGCCTCTTAATGAGTTTTAATGATGACAAAGAGCAATTCGCTGGCCTGAACATGTAACATCTGCAAGGCAATCATCAATTGCCTGTAAGCTAGATAGACCCTCCACATGGGAGAAGGCAATCCCTGCACCTTGCTTAGATGAGAATGCATGGACAAAGGTCCACATCACTATTGATAAGTACAACCTTAGTGGCAGAGGAGGGTCTGGATCATAACAGGCCACTAATAGGCTGTACAGTCAGGTGCAGCAGGTTCTCAGGACCAGTCAGCCTTACTAAGTACTGCCAGTGCTGCTCATGTCAGTGGTCCTCTGGTAACTCTAAACAGCAGTACCAGTAAGTACCAGAGAGCAAAGGCAGAGGCGAATGGGCAAGGGCCATGGTTAGAAACGATCCAGTCCTCTTGGGTTTAATTCTAATAATTCATTCAATCTTTTAGTAAATGGTTGAATTCCTACTATGTACCACACTCTAAACAGCAGTACCAGTAAGTACCAGAGAGCAAAGGCAGAGGCGAATGGGCAAGGGCCGTGGTTAGAAACGATCCAGTCCTCTTGGGTTTAATTCTAATAATTCATTCAATCTTTTAGTAAATGGTTGAATTCCTACTATGTACCAGGTCCTGTTCTAAGAGCTGGGAGTATGGTAAACAGTAGACTTGATTCCTGCTTCTGTGGAACACATGTTGAGAGGGCTTATATTATGATTGGACCTATAGATAAATCACTTTAAGCTATTAAATACTAAGAAAGTATAACTGAATTAGTCCATTATGCAAATAATTTTAAACATAATCTTTGTTAAGTTTTGCTTAAAGCAAAAATAATTGTGTGGGATAATATTCATATGTACTTATTTGCATTCCACGTACAATGTAACTCTTGCCTCCGGTAGGCATTCTAAAAGGTATCAAGCTCTTGGTAGAAGCTATATGTTGTTATGGGTACCTTCCTGTTCACAATGCTTTTTGATCTTCTGGTAGCATTTTGTTTTCCTCAATGTTAAGTAGACATTAATTGTCTTCATTTCCATTGGCAGAGCTTTTATCTCAGTTATCCGGAGTGAGACGTTCTGCAGGAGGACAGCTTAATTCTTCTGGCCCTTCCGCTTCTCAGTTACAACAACTGCAGATGCAGCTGCAGCTAGAACGGCAGCATGCCCAGGCAGCACGGCAACAACTGGAGACTGCACGCAATGCAACCCGGCGTACTAACACGAGCAGTGTCACCACTACAATCACACAATCTACAGCAACAACCAACACAGCTAATACAGAAAGCAATCAGCAAACTCTCCAGAACTCCCAATTTCTTTTAACAAGGTAGCTCATTTAATAATATAATTTTGCTTAAGAAGTAATGTTTTATTGGCACTACACAATCTAAAATGATCTTTTCTCTTTTGTGCATGTATATGTTCTTAAAAACTCTGCCCTTGGTCATACCATTAAAACTCAGAGATCTCTGATTAAAACTGCATATTCAATATATCTCCAAGAATTTGAAAAACTCATTATTTTAGATAAAGTAAGAATGCTGGTCTTCATGTTCCCAAGTTATATAGCATCACCTAATATGAATTTCTTTTTCCATACTACCCATAAAACTTAGCACCATATTATTGCATAAGTAAACATCCCCATAAAACTTAGCACCATATTATTGCATAAGTAAACATCATATTAGGTACATTTAGTGTCATAATTAGCATTGCTTTCTTTTTATTGCCAATTTCAGTCTGCTGTGAAGTAGTAGAAGGTACAGAATAAGATTTCATAATACAGTGGTGGTTTTCTCCTGAGAATTTCTAAAGAAGCTGGATTTAAATTCTTATGGTTGGTACAAAGAAGTAACTTGAAAAAGTCGTTTAGTTTGATATAAATAATATTCAGTACACACAGTAAATTGTTCCACTAGATGGAGTAGAGTTCTTACTTGCTTCTGAAACTCCTGTTAGCAACTGAATATGTTCCTCTGCCAAAATGTCATAAGCATTTTATGTGACTTTTAAAAATATAAAGAATTCTTCCCTGTACCAGCCAGCCACCAAAAAAATAAAAGAATTCTAAAAAGAGCAATGACGAATAGAGACTTAGGCTCAAGAGACAGTGAACCTGGACTAGTTTGGGCTTTTAATGAAACAGAGAAGAACATAAAGTAGAAACTGTAAAATAAAGAAGAAAATTAGTATATCTCTATGTGTAAAATGCAGTATGTTTGACAATTAGGATATTTGAAGAAAATATTGTAATTTCTACTTATATTTCTCTGATCTCATACTTTCTAATATCTCTGTTAGTACAGTGGTACATGTGTATAGCTGTAAATAACATGTTGCGGGTGCAGAATAAAAAATGTTCGAGGTCCTCTGGTCTAGAGCCCTGGCTTTGAACCTTAGGCAAATCACTTCACTTCTCCAAATCTCAGTTTTATCATCAGTATACCAGGAGTTTTGCCTGATGAAAGAGAGAATTATTTTGAGGATTAAATGGAATACTGGTATATGTATGGTCTGGTTCAGTGTCTGGCGTATAGTAAAGGTCCAATTAATGGTACCCATTATTATAATTTGTTATGAATGTAAGAAGGAACTATCAAGTGGGGAATTTATCTTTGAATTTTCTGTGCAAGGTCAGTAACTATGCCTGATAATTACCAGAAAATGTTGCTTCAACATGAAGAAATCACAGAGCCACAGGTGGATCTACCTGCGGCCATGTAACCTTACCTGTAGGGACCAACCAACACCAGGTCTGTGACTTGCCAGATATAGGCACATACCTCAAAAAAGGGACCTACCAATATGTATATCCACTGAGAGTTCACTGACCTATAGGTGGAAGGTCTTGCCAATGCCCATTGAGAAAGACATCTTTGCACCCTTGCCTTTTTTTTTTTTTTCCCCCTGTTTTAGCCCCGCAAGGTATTCATTGGGCTTGATCTGGGATGTTTTCTTTTTTTCTTTCTTTCTTTTTTTTTTTTGAAACATACCTGAGTGTATGATCTGGGATTTTCTGTGCAGTTATTCTACCCTAGACACCCAGCTCACAGTGTGTGGTATGAGTGGCTTTTGAGTGTTTTCCTTGGATTCTGGTTGTAGCTGTTTGATACGTGATACCTTGCAATTTGCAGACCACTTTTCACATCTTTTATTGTATCATTTGATCCTGACTCATATGACTTATCTAATATAATGTTTTCCAAAAAAGTATTCCCTGCAACTTATATTTATACTTTTTTTTTTAGTGGTTGGCCAGTAACAGGGAGGCGAACCCTTGACCTTAATGTTATCAGTACCATGCTCTCACAAGTGAGCCACCAGCCAGCCTCCAACTTTATGTATTCTAAGGAATATATAGTCATTTTGTGTTCATCTTTTTATTCCCTGATGAATAAGTTTGGACAAAACTAACAAAAATAGTTTATTTACTGTTGGGCTTCTCAGACCTTCAAACACATTAAAATGCATTGTGAATTTTCAAGGCAAGGAGAGTAGCTGCAACGTTTGCAAGAGAAATCCTGGTCTCTGGTCCCACAGTTGTTAGGTGATATATGTAAGTCTCAAGCCTTACCATTGGTCTCTTCTTTGACCAGGAGCAGTTCCTATTCATGTTGCTCTGGAACAGACGGTGGGGACACAGATTCTTCGGGGTCCAAGATAGCTGACCTTTTAGGAAATGATTAAGTGTCTAAGTCAGATTCTGGTCTTTTGCTAATGGGGCCAGCTAGTTTTGCTAACCCCAAGTTGAAGATCCTCACAGATCCTTTGCTGTTCCTTTTAGGCCCCAAATGAAGTTTGGCTCATCAAGAAGTCAAGCCCTAGTACCAGATTTTGTCTGCCCCTCAGGAATGATGTGTTTTCTCAGTTATTGCTCTGCAAATCAAAACGGTATTATCGGAATTGCATACCCTCCAAAGGGCTGAAGGCCTCAGCCTAAATGTTTCTAGTTTGCCTGATTACTGTGCAGGTAGTCATCTCTACACCCTTTATGTTTCTGTAATAGGTTTGACTTCTCTAGATTTTTTTTTTTTTTTTTTTTGTCTTTTTCCGTGTCCGGCAACGG